TATGATTTAATTGCCTAGTTATATAGATCCACATACTGTCAGTAATATTTTTATTATATCAGTTACTGGTTATAATATCTTTATTTCTTAGTCATTTCCAGTAGCTCCATGCCTTATTGGTGATAGTAGTATTTTTACTATCAGGTGCTTTCGAAACTTTAATTCAATATTACACTGTGAGTAAACATTTTTACTCCATGACAGTTGTATGTTGGTTTTGTCACATGATCAATAGAAATTACACATGGAAGACAAGCATATATATATTTTTGGTGATCTTAAAAGAAGGAAAATTACAACCAATGACTACATCCCAACTCGCCAAACACCACCACCAGCCCCGGTGCCAGAGACTCATGGCCGACACCAAATCCCCATGCCAGCTGCATCCGCGTCGGAGTCCGTCTCATCGGCTTGGTCCACTGTGGATCCAGTCGCCTCACCTGGAAATCAGGAAAATGCCAGGATATATGATCACAAAATCAATTTTACATGTAGCACCTAGTCTAGAGGGTAAAAACATCATCATCATATCCATTCCTTGACTATTCTAGCTTGTTATAATGGTCCTGATGTCTTCTTACCATTCATCTGAACTTCTGAATATAAGAATAGATTACTGAACATTAAATCATGCAGTACAAAACCAAGATAACATCTGGAAATCAGGAAAATGCCAAGATATATTTACAGAATGGTATATCTATTACATCTCCATACTGACATTTGAGAAAAAAAAGGCACATGAGCTAGGATTTTCACACTGGATCCATCAATTTTATCTCTGAAGTAAACAAATGCACATTAGCTATGATTTTCACAAACAGTCAAACAATTTTATCTAAAAAATATAGCAAGGTCAGAAACTAGTTCACTTGCTCTAAATTCCTGCTCGTTAGCAAGCATGCATTTTTGAGATAAAATTGTTGGACTCCTGCTCGTTTGCACAATTGACCAATCGTAAATCAAAGAATCAAGAATAACAGCTCCCTTGCTCCAGATCCCTGCTCGTTAGCAAGCTGGCTAAGCCTCACGCAGCAAGCAGGCACACAGCCACCGCCCGCCACACGGCTTGGCTGCCTTGACACGCATTCTTGCCGTCGGCGGTCACAACACTGCATAATGCGCCTGCGCCTGTGGCACACGGAGAAGACGCATGGTCGCACTTCCTCTCTCGGATTCGTCGTGCGGGCCGAGGATGTTAGCGCTGGGTAGGGGGATACACAGGCCGCGATGGACGCGGTGCGACGGATGCGGCGGGGCCTCCGCTGCATGAAGCAGATCCAGCCATCGAATCAGCACGCCGTCTCCGCCGCTGAACCGGGAAGAGGGGATCAACAGCCGGCGCAGAGGCGACGTGAAAGGACTTGGCTTCCACCAAATCCATGGGGGAGGGGGAGGCAGCCATGGAGGGCCACTCGAGGTGGTGGACAAGCCTCCCGATCTGCTCGTCGTCGAGCTCGCCGCCGCCGGGAACAGGCTATCTCCGTCGTCGAACCACCGGGAGCCCTGGATGCCACCACCTCTGCCATCTCCTACCCGCATCTCCACTCGAGATAGTAAAAAAAAGGAAAAAGGTTGGAGGGAGGGGCAACGATTATGGCTGCACACCTCTGCGCGGCAGATTTCACAGCGGTGGGGGGTATAAACGACGGTCGTGGAAGGGGACGGGGTGGACAACGACGGGAGTCGGGGAGGCGATGGCTGCGGCGCTGTATGGACGGATGAGGTGGCAGCATTGAGGAGGTGCCGATCGGAACAAGGTCGGCGTGGAGAAGACGAACGGCGCTCACCTCTGCCTGACGCCGCTGTTGGAATCACTCCCTCTCTTCTGTAGTGTTTATCACAAACACTTACGTATTTTTCACTTGAGTCACACACACACGAATGAACAGATGGCACAAACTGGAAAGCCTTTTTTTCTGTTGATGCAGCCAACTAGCTCACATCGTTTTCTTGTTTATATAGACTCAGTACATGCAAAGAGATTACAACAGCCAAACCCACTCAGCCACAACTCACGCCATGCACACAGACGTGGGATGCCATGCAACTAAGTAACTAACTAATCCTACTTATCTGCCAAGAAATCACTTCACATGATTACCACTAATCACAACACATGCGGCTAAATGCTTATCTACTACTGGAACCGATTCACTCGGCAACATGGGACCTCGCCTTGCCTGCGATCCGGCTACTTCGCGCAGCACTTCCACTTGCAGTTAGGCTTAGTTTTCTGACTTATTCACACAAGTCGCTAGCTCCACTTATACCACCGCATCGCACGGCGCTTCGGCATCTCGCCCATGAGTGCAGTATGCACGTATCTCACGTACAAACATCTTCTAGCATGTGACTTATGCAAACACTTATTACATGCAAACAAAAATAACCATGCAAATACTCTAATGACAAGATTAAACTCTAACAGCCTCATCGTCCTCACAACTCGTTGCCTCTCCTCCTCGTCACCACTGTGCGCCTGTGCCGCTTGATCCGTAAAATGTGGAGGAAGGGGAAAGTGGGTTGACAGTTTGTACAATCGAAAATGCTATACATACAACCAAAGCGTCCGACCCTTGTACGTCTAAGATGTCCGCCGTCCGTGTCTCCACATCCGCATAGATCGCTAATTCAGTTGGGCCTTACAAAAGCCCAATTCAATAATCTGGCCGCACGTCCGCGCATCGTTTCATCTAGCCGATAATATTGCCTCAACGTGACTTTCTATCTCCTTCTATCCTAAACCCCACGGTCTAATTCCTTTGTCTTCCATCTCTAATCAATTGCTTGAGTTCAATAAGATGTAATTTGGCCACACGGCCACGTTGTTTTATCTAGCCAATAGTATTCACTGATCACATCACACAAGGTATGTGAAAGCTGCTGATTTATTAATGCCTACTCCAAATTTTCATCTGAAAAATCATAGACATGAGACAAAATATCGTTGTGCGGCTAAAAGGACATGATGTGTCCTTATAAGTTTAGGCTTGAAATAATATATGGGCTTTGATGTGGATTATGTTACGTGGGACAGTTGAAACAGCAGCCCATCTGACCAAGTCAGTGCTGCTTCACGCCGTGTAATTCGCCGTTGAGTTGTACGCCAGTCGAACGCGCTAGTCGGACGTATAGCAGCGTTCTTGTACAATAGGAGAGGGAGAGGGAGGGAGTAATATAAATGGGAAGAAAATTCTCTGCGGCAGTGCCACACAGGACCGCCTGTGCAACACCACGCGCGCGAGTGACGCGTGTCCAATCACCAACTGCAGTCTGAGACCATCTTCGGAGCCGAGCCAATCTCGCCGAGCCATATCCATCGACAGCACGTTATTTCGAGCCGAGCCAGACTCATCAATTTTAACAGGGTTCTTTTCATATAAGATACTTTCATTTTTAATAAATAACACCCTTAACTTTTGGACACTACATATATTATGTTATGTAGTGGAAATTTAGAAACTATCATTAAATCAAAAAATAATCGTATGAGATTCGTCCATGTCATCACCACATATTTTTCCTATTTAACCTCATCTTATTTGAATTTTTTCATAAATATTATTTATTTTGTTCGGTGATTTTCACATGCCTTTGTCTATAGGCGGACCGGCTTCCATCTGAAAAGATTATTTTCGGCCGTTTGTAAAAATGTTTTTTCTAGTACTGAAAGGGCTCGGAAATTACAATTTGATGACATAAAAATCACAGTTTGAAAAGGGATCAGAAATTACATATTGTTAACATAGAAATCACGAAACATTTAAGGAGTAATCGTGCTTTGATAATCACGGAACGTTCTGGTAATTGTTTAGATATGGGTGTAGGAGATAGGCTCGGCTCTGAAGATTGTCTCAGGCTGTTGCAGCAAGAGATCAGACACGCGTCACTCGCGCGCGTGGTGTTGCACATGGCGGTCCTGTGCGGCACTGCCGCAGAGAATTTTTTTCCATATAAATGGCTGGGATTGGGATGGGTTGCCAGGGGTGGAGCCGTGGAGGCCTGCAGGGTGGGGTGGCCGGGGGTAAGGAGGGGGTAGGGGTGGGTGTGGGGGGTAGGTAGGGTGTGAGGGGGAGCGTTTTAGTTAGTACACACTTCAGGTGCAGTGTGTATATGTGTGTATATATATATATATATATATATATATATATATATATATATTTTTCACACATATATATGAAAGCACTTAATTAATTAAGTTAAATAATATATATAATCAAAATATATATTTACACACGTAAGTAAACGTCTATATATGTAAATATAGAACTACTATATGGCATCTTAAGGTGCTACGTATTAAACGGCACCTTAAACGGCACCTGACACAGTGAACAGACCCACCCACTGCCCATCACCCCACTCCCCTCCCAACTCCACCCACTTTGATTCACGAGTTAAATTTTTACTACTACATAGCCCACCATATATATTCACGTTTAGTCAGTTAAATTTTAACTATATGTGATTCAGCAATTATAATAAACGTTACTCCCTCCGTCCCAAAATAAGTGCAGTTTTGCACTATTCATGTTCAACGTTTGACCGTCTGTCTTATTTGAAGATTTTTTATGATTAGTATTTTTATTGCTATTAGATGATAAAACATGAATAGTACTTTATGTGCGACTAAATGTTTTTAATTTTTCACAAATTTTTCAAATAAGACGGACGGTCAAATGTTGAACGTGAATAGTGCAAAACTGCACTTATTTTGGGACGGAGGTAGTACTTAGCATATTGAATTATTTATTAACTAAAGGAAACTTTTTTTTTGCTCATGCCTTAATTTTTCTTGTTATTATTATTTTTCTTTTGTTTCATTATGTTTTTGTAAAATTTAAATGTCTATGACTTTTTTTTCACGAATAAAATGTTCTTTTTTTACTCACATTGAACAAGTCAGTTAATTTTTAACTATATGTAGTAATTTTTTTACTCCCCTATAAGCACCAACCGATGAGCCCATGACCCATCCTGCTCGTCCTCTCATCAGTAATTATTTTACTGTGGTATCTATCTCTATTTATATTAGCTGCGGAATCACAGCCAGACACATCATCTCCTATTCTCTCATTCCAGATCCTAATATTTCGGATCGGCAATGTCACCGATGAGAGGAGCGGCACCGGCGAGGTCGACACGGATGGTGATGTGGTTCCTCCTGTGCGGTTTGCTTGTCAGGGCGATGGCGTGGAGATGGAGATCCGAGTGGTGGCGAGGAGGTCCGTCGGTAAGGGGCGGCAGCATCCATCGCAACCCACCATTTTCTGGCTTTTAAAATTATTTTCTCCCCTTTTTTATCTACGTGATGGTCTCCATGCAGCCATGGCGACGGGTAATTGGCATTTGCGAGACGAGATGCCGACAATGGTGCCCTGCATCCAGCGGCAACCTCGACGACGGCGTGCACGGCCAAGCAGCAGAAGCAGCATCCACGAGGAGGCCGATTCACAGCGGCGCGAGCAAACTGTCATCCATGTCGATGCTGACAACGAGATGGTCGGTGATGAGGTTCCACCGTACAAGGAGGTCAGGCGTGAGGGAGGACTGCATCCACTGGGATCTACACTGTGACTGACGGCCTGCGGCTCGATACGGCGGCGTGGTGGCCACCTTGAGTATGGCGGCGACCGATTCCGTCGTTGACGCAATAGCATGCTCATCTACGCCTTCGTGTTGCCAGATTGGATCGAGAGTCATTGCATGCATCTGATCTTCGTTTTCCTTGTGTCTCAAAGCTGTTGTCGACAGCTGGTTTATTGTGTCATGTATATCCTTCTCCTTTTCTTCTTTTTCGCCGGTCAGAGTCAGATGATTCTGCTCTCGCTGTGTGTAATTTTCTACTAACTAAAACTTTCATATATGTATAATCTCTCACTAAGATTTCACATATGCATCATAAAATAATTATTATCCACACGTTTGTGATTGTTGAAATTTTTTTACTGCCAATTTTATTCGGTGAAATAAAAATATCACTAAAAATTTCACGTTTCTGGACCCTTACGATTTTCATTTTTAACCTCCCAATTACTATGACATGGAGTTGATTTCTATCCGATGAATTAAACATCAGTTAATTTACATCGACATAATCGTCATCAAGTATCATTCTTAAGTTAACATTTCACTCATCACTTGGCCCCAACGTAATAAACTTTTTTTTTTGAAAAATACCCCTGCACATATGATGGATCCTGTAATTTCACTCACGATGATTCAACAGTTACAATTTAACTCACGGAGAGATGGGTTTATCATGCCTATCATGCCACGATGACCTATACAACCACAATAAGTTAATTTTTAACTCAATATCCTCAACACCAGATCCCACATACCAACTGTGCGTAAGTCAAATATTAACTCCCGATAACTCCTTCACAACTGAACATCTATTTGTACGAAAGTTAAACTATAACTCTTAAATAGCTGCATCAGAACCCACCACCAATATAGATATGTTAACTTTAACTCTGTTATCGGCTGGTTGTCACGGTGGTGGGTTTTTCTTCCTGTGAGTCGTGCCACCAAACTTCCTGACGCGCAATGCCTGTGTGTAGCGTCATGTAGCGCTACCGTATATAAATATATACATATATTACAATTTCTTTGGACATTGAATATAATGTTTGTATTTCAGCGCACTTATGCTAGCTAGCTACGAATCGTCAACGTCGCCTCAGAGGAAGAAGGACTGACGCTATGAACTGTATTCCCGTCCTAATAGAATTCAACCGTGGGATCTAGGATCTGTTCGTTGATAAATCCCTGTGGAGATTATGGGTACCCCATACCCACACGACATGGTTATCCGACTAGTCTTAGGGGATAGCTTATATCTATGGAATATGTAACAGATCATGACTTGGGTATTACGTTTCCCTGTATATTATGGAACGGCCTAAAGTCCTAGTTTGATAAGATTGTAAAGTAGATTTAGGAAACCGATACCGTATTGGTTAAGGTTTCTATCTTGTAACCCTGCCCCCCAACCTATATAAGGAGGGCAGGGAGCCCCTCTAGGGGCATGATGAGACAACCTGATCGTCAGATCAATACACACTCGGCGGATTCAAATCCCCAAACAAGAGTAGGGTATTACCTCTCATTGAGAGGGCCTGAACCTGTCTAAATCCTTTGTCTCCACATCCATCCACTTTTAGGTCTCGTGCGCCACCCCGTTTTATTATTGCCGAAATCATGTTTCGACAGTTGGCGCGCCAGGTAGGGGCGGCGTCGAGTTTTCCGTCGAGAAGTGTGATGGAATTATTTACTGGCATCGTCGGTGCTACTCTCGTCACTGGCCGAGTTCTTCTCAATAAGATCGGCCGGAGTCATCATCGTCAAAAATTTCGGCTGGATCAAGCCAGTCAACCAGAAGATTAACCACCGATCAATCTAATCTACAACCGGACGTCAGTCGTCAAGTTGTCCCCCTGATCATCAGAAATTGAAGTTATCGGCTTCTTCTTCGCTCCAGGCTGGGAGGATTAATCTCGGCAATTTTAATGGATTTAATCTCTGCTGCCGCTGAGTTATTTCCTTGATTGAAGACCAGAAACCTCCACAACCAATCGTACAAGTCTGCTTCACCATCTGATATACACACGCATGACCGTGCATGGGAATCTAGCCAAACAGTCAGGAGCTACCAACATATTATCCCCGATTAATATGATCAGTGCATTCTCTTTGTTGATCGAAGGAATTGTTATATCATCAATCAACTTTGTCCGTGAGGTCAAATTTCTCATCGCCGTGTTCGCCGGCTCATCGGCTTCCTTAAAGAAGGCTGCAGCTATCGTCATTCAGCTAGCTCAATTCGGTGATACTGATAGTATTAATCTACATCACTAGCTGCCGGTGTCTTTTCTTGGAAGTGCAGCACTCATGCATGTATTGCATGTCTGTCACAAGCTGCCGATATGATCTCCTGTCCACCCATTAACACATATATACGGGGGACACTGAGAAAAAAGCTAAGTGCCTTTATTTTTCCTCTTTATGTGATATTTTCCATTGAGCAATTTTTTATATCTACTCATGCTAACTACTCGTCTAGCGCCGGACGCCTAGTTTTATCATTATTTATCATATTGATTTTTAATCTTAGATTAATCTCTTGCTATTTTTTGTTGTTGTTCGCATATAATTACGCGGCACTATTGAGGCGATTGATGCTGGTCATGGACTCGAGGCGTCTTAGCTTTCCGGTCGATCGGCCGCGAGTCCACTCTGCCGGCTTGTCTTCGCCACTGCCATTGCTGATAACAACAACGACTTCACCACCGGCCGCCTCGTCTGCCGCCGACTGGTGCCTCCGTCTACACGGCTGGCCTATTATGCCGCCGCTGTTGGGCATCTACGACTTCACCGCCGGCCTGCCTCCGTCGCCGCCGAGTGGTGCCTCCGTCTACACGGCTGGCCTATTATGCCGCCGCTGTTGGGCGTCTACGACTTCACCGCCGGCTTGCCTCCGTCGCCGCCGAGTGGTGCCTCCGCCTACACGGCTGGCCTATTATGCCGCCGCTGTTGGGCGTCTACGACTTCACCGCCGGCCTGCCTCCGTCGCCGCCGAGTGGTGCCTTCGTCGACCGGCTGGCCTATTATGCCGCCGCTGTTGGGCGTCTACGACTTCACCGCCGGCTTGCCTCCGTCGCCGCCGACTGGTGTCCTCGCCTATACGGTTGGTTGGTCACACCACCGTTCATGGGCGTGCACGTCTTCGCCGACCGGCTGGCCTTCACCGCCGCCAACTGGTGTTTCTGCCTACACGGCTAGCCTATTATGCCGCTGCTGTTGGGCGTCTACGACTTCACCGCTGGCCTGCCTCTGCCGCCACTGACTGGTGTTTTTGCCTATACGGTTGGCGGACTCCGCCGCTGTTAATGGGCTTCATCATCTACACCACTGGCTTGGTTCCACTGGCGCCGACTGGTCACCATTGATGGACTGCTTTATTCCCACATCGGCTACTTTTGCTGTCATCGAGGGAATACGACAAAGCTAAGTCATCATTTATTTTATTCTTTATATGATATTTTGCCTTTTCCTTTGCCTCACTACCTTAACTGGTTCGCCGTTGACTAGTGAGTCGGGGGCTATAGATGTTATATCGTATTTTTTAAACAATTTTCATAATATTTATCTTGATTGCTTGCGACATAATCTGAGTACAAAAGTACCTATCGAGTTATGGAGTTCTATCTTCCTATGCTTTCCGTTTGGTTTGCCAATGGATGGTTGCCTTTGGGCCGATTCCTAGCACCCGGGGGCTCGTTGGATGGACCGAGTAACGCAAGGTGCTAAGTATTACTCGGAAGAAATCAAAAGCATAGAGATAATATAATTTATTTTCTGCTCTTAATAATTGCAAAAGTACCTGAGTAGTAAATTCTGATCCGTGAAACTTTGTTCCATTAATGACGAACTCATGTCACTCATATGCATGTTTGGGAAATGCCTAGGCCGACTCCCGATGCTTGGGGGCTATGACTAGTCGGACAGAGTGTTTAAACGTACAGAGTCATCTGCTCGGGGAAATCAAAATTGACAAGAGGAGAAATACATATTTATAAATATTTTAAAATACTTGATTTTTTCTCGAGTATTATATTTATATCAGATACTACTCATCCTATATGTTTGTTCTGCAGGATCCAGATCCAGATATGCATAAAAGGGATTCATGGCTTTAAGCTTATCTCTTACGCTCCAGGAATGGATCAGTCAGAACACCACCACCGGCTCGCCTCGACCGTCGCCGACTGGTGTTTCCGCCTGCACGGCTGGCCTATTATGCCGCCGTTGTTGGGCGTCCACGTCTTCACCGACCGGCTTGCCTTCGCCGCCGCCGACTGGTGTTTCCGCCTGCACGGCTGGCCTTTATGCCGCCGTTGTTGGGCGTCTACGTCTTCACCGACCGGCTTGCCTTCGCCGCCGCCTACTGGTGTTTCCGCCTGCACGGCTGGCCTTTATGCCGCCGTTGTTGGGCGTCTACGTCTTCACCGACCGGCCGCCTCGTCCGCCGCCGACTGGTGCTTCCACCTGCACGGCTGACTTATTATGCCGCCGTTGTTGGGCGTCTACGTCTTCACCGACCGGCCGCCTCGTCCGCCGCCGACTGGTGCTTCCGCCTGCACGGCTGACTTATTATGCCGCCGTTGTAGGGCGTCTACGTCTTCACCGACCGGCCACCGCATCCGCCGCTGACTGGTGTCACCGCCTGCACGGCTGGCCTGTTATAACGCCAACTGATGCTATCTTCTTCACGGCTGGCTACATCGCTGTCACTACTAATAGGCATCAGTATCTTCAATACAAGCTGCCTACGTTTGCCATGGCTGCCGACTGGTTTCTTCACTTCCATGGCTGCATGATTCTGCCAGTGTTGATTGGCCTTACCATCTTCATCGCCGGTCGTCTCGTCTGCTGCTGACTAGTGCCCTCGCCTCTACATCTGGTTTATACAGCTACCACTACTGATGGACATCATCGTCTTCCGCCGCCGACTCGTGTTATGCCGCCGCCGACCGGTGCTTTTATCTTCACAACTGCGCGTCTTCACTACCGGTTCACTTCATCACGGCAACACAACTTTGTCATCATGGTGGAGCGACTTCATCTTTATTATCTTCGGTACCAGCAAACTCTATTGCTGCTACTTCACAAGTTTTGCTACATCACCAACCATGACGTTGTTGTGAATCTCGACATCTCGGCATGCGATGCCATGTTATTTTACTACAACAAGTGGCTCTCCAATATTCAGGATTTCTACTTGGACATCTTCAACACATATCTTCAATCAAGCAATGACTACTCGACGACAAGAAGCTATAATTCTCGACTCTATGTTCAGTTGTTTCCCAACTAACCAAAGAGTCGGGGGCTACACAAATATAAGGCTCAAAATTTGACAAATTTTATATAAGCCAAT